GTTCCACGGCGATGCTCGGTGGCTTGCCTCCATTTTTTATTGCTCGCCTCTCGGCGCGCGCGGCTCTGCCTCTTCACCTTCCTCTCTCGACCTCTTCTTCTTCGTCGTCGTCACCGTCGTCGTCGTTGTCTTCTTCTTCGTCTTCCTCCATATCTCCTTTGACTTCCTCCTTCTTTCTGCCCTTTTCTCGAACGCGATCTCGGCTTCTGTTCGACTCGCCCGACGATTCCCGATCTCGTTCTCTTCGTCTCGAGGCTGACTTTCCGCGAGTTTCACCGCATGTTCTCGCGTGTAAGATTGCATTCGCGTGCTCAGACCACGGCGAAAGCGTCCCGGCCTACGTTATCTCGTGGTCGAATACGACAGTTCTTGCTAGACGCAGAATGCGATATAATGCAATGTCTCTCTCTCTCTCTCTCTCACTCTCTCTCTCTCTCTCTCTCTGAGAGAGAAACGATGATTTACATATATATATTATTAAATATTATACAAAACACTTGAAAAACGACAGGACAATGTGTAAGAGATCTCAGATAGACTTTCATGATTATCACAACGTGAAACAGTCGATGATTGTCTCTATAAATAATTCTGTTGTCTGATCGAGCGTTATCTAGGGAGTGCGTTAAGGAGGGAGCTTGAGATTTGCTGATTCGATCAATCGAGACGGGTGATATGTTCAGAACTCAGGCGAACATAGCACGACCACGACTGATGAAACGGACCACGCACGACAGACGGCCGGTGAGAAATATGCTCAATAATAATTATTCAGATAGATAAGTTGGCAGAGAAGGATCAGTCGCATGACCTCTACGTTTCCCAGGTACGAATCCGCTAGATTTTTACTTAGGGGAACACTTAAAGCATTTAGTGTATTCGCGATTTATTGATAGAAGAGACCACCAACGCTTATAATATTAATGCTTGTGAAGCTGTACGGAATCGCCCGCGAACCTTCGAAACGGTTCGACAATCCTTACTCTGCCATGTCAATGTCTGTCTTCAATCAAATAGCGGCCATTTGGAGCATTTGTTACAATTTCAATGTTTACTTATGATTATTTAATAGTAACATTAATGTAGACTTTGTTCCACTATAACTTCGTAACTACTCATATTTGATTATGGTTTTATACAGGATATTCTAGGAAGCTCTCGTGGAGGCCATACCACGGATTGAACACAGAAGTCCTACACCGTTTTGTGATATTCGCCATAATTATCGAGATATTAATTAAAGAAGATCTGTAAATGATCACGCAAGATATGGTAGATGAGCTGTAGTGGCGACATCTGCCATCGTGTGCTTGTATGTTAGGTCAAACTGAACAAAAAAGTCCTCTACCATTTTCGTAATAACTCTTTGAAGATTTTTAATTATTAATTAAAGAAGATTGGCGAATGGTCGCTCGCGATAATATATTAACGTTATCTAATTAATAACTCGCGTGTCTCGCGTGATCATTCACAAATCTTCTTTAATTAATATCTCGATAATTATTGCGAATATCGCAAAATGGTATAGGACTTTTATATTTATCTTACTCCGTACTATGCCTCCACGAGAGCTTCAAAGATTGTTCTGGGACGCTCTGTATAAACTTATTTTCTTTGTTTTGACGAGAGGAATACGTCCTTTGTCCAAGTATTTTGTAAACACCTTTTGTAAAAAGTTACAATCTTTGCATGTCGATCAATGAAGTTGCAGTCAAATTTACGTACATCTGTCTATCTGGGTATCTGACATGCGGTATACCGCATGGATCTTTCTTTTTCCACAGTCTCCAGTCCGACGCTCGTCGAATTGAGGTGAAACCAGAGTCTTTCAGATATTTACAAAAAGCCAGCCGCAGTACTGCAGTGCGCAATCGTTGACGAATTATTCGAGCTCGTTGGCGAAGCGCTGAAGTTTAACGCGCCGGAGCAACTATTACGCGTTAATTTTAGCAGCTAACGAGCCTCTCGGGCGGCCGATGCGTCCTTCGTGACGCTCGTTACGTTCGACCGTGCCCTCCTGCACGAGTTCGCTCAACGTTGTTCACTCTTGTTTCTTTGCCTCGTTCAAAAACGCTCGGAATGTTAACGCGGCGGCCTTTAAAAGGCCGCCAGTGATTGCCGGGGATTGCGAGGCAAAGATCCGATCGCAAATTACGCAAATTTCATATACACGGACTAACATTGGTGGTTTATCTCTCACTGCAAATTTTCCCTTAAGAATAATAGCATCGAATAAAGATACATCATGAAAATTGTTCATTTCAGTTTCCTTCTTCTCTTCTTTTTTCTTCCGTTTTTAATTGGAAATATTTCTCTCAGATAAGCAGAAACGTTAAAAGAATGGCTTTTCTTAGATAAAAAAAAATGTATCGAAATTAATATTAACTAATTATTTTAATTAATAAAAATTACTTAGAAAAATTTATTTAATAAAATAAAGATATATTAAAGAAAGTGGAATTGCTCATAGCAGCTTTCTTCCTTTTTTCTTTTTTCTTATTTATTTAAGGAAATTTAAAATTTTTTCTTAGATAAAAAGTAACGTATTGTATTTAATACTGATTCATCACGTTGATTAGTTGGAATTACTTAGTGAAATTTATTTAATAAAATAAGGATACATTAGGAAGAAAATAGAATTACTCATATAGTTTTCTTCTTTTTTTCTTTTTTCCTTCTTTTTTAAGGAAATTGAAAGCTTTCTCCTAGATGAAAAGTAACATATTGAAGATAATACTGATTCATTATTTTTGGTTAGTAAGAATTACTTAGTAAAATTTATTTAATAAAATAAAGATATACATTAGAGGAAGTAAAATGGCTCGTACCAATTTTCTAGTTATTTTTTTTCTTCCTTTTTTTAAGAAAATTGAAAATTTCTTTCGCTGATAAGAAGAAACGTATCGAAATTAATATTGACTCATTGTTATTAATAGTAACAAGATTAATAAGAATTAATTTTATTTAATAATATTTTATTTAATAGATAAACGATTAATTTGTCTTATATATATCAGCATGGCTATTTTCGACTTTAGAAAGTCACCTCTTGAAAATATATTGCTCTCTCATTTCTTCAGGGGGGAATCAATAGCGTTCTCGATATATATATATATATATATATATATATATATATATATATATATATATATATATATATATATATATATATATATATATATATATATATATATATATATATATATATATATATATATATATATATATATATATATATATATATATATATATATATATATATATATATATATATATATATATATATATATATATATATATATATATATATATATATATATATATATATATATATATATATATATATATATATATATATATATATATATATATATATATATATATATATATATATGAATATAATAGAAAATGAACAATTTCTGCTTTGACTCTATATAAAAATTGTGTGCGTGTAAATTAATCTCAAATCATTCCTTTTATTAATAAGAATTACTTACAAAATTTTATTTTATAGATACACAACAAACCTACTGTGTGTGCTGTGTGCAGCAACATGGTAGCTTTTAACTGTAAAAAGTCTCCCTTCATTTTTCTTGAAAATCTATTTTCTCAGAGGGGAATGGATAACGTTTTCAGTTCATAAATATAATGGAAAATGGTCGATTTCTACCTTGACTTCGTATCGAAATTACGTGCGTAAGTAACATGTACGATGATGATACTCGCGAATAGAGGCACAGAGGCATAGAGACTGACGAATATAACGGCGATATGTCAACGGAGTATTCCCCTAACGTAACTTCTCGCGCTCGGAATGTCACCCAATAATTTGCATATTCTTATATTGTCGACGATGAAAAGCAACGTCGTGCGTAGTATCGAGCTTACGTACGTGTGCAAGGGAGTCTAGATAGCCCCAAGAGTATGTTATTCATATATCTTTTTTAGTATTTACCTTGACAGAAACATGTGGATGCAAAATTGCGAAACGGTCCTTTTAGAACATAAATACTTTTCCCTTAGTTCTATTATATATTGGAATAATATTACAGTTAAAAAATAGAAAAGTCTGATTTAGTAGTAGCAAAGTAAATTTTTCGAGCCTTTCTCTCTCAAAATTTTGTAAAATATTCTCAAATATTCGTGAGTAAATCAAATTAAGGGGCACGCGTTCTAGATAGTTAAAATGAAGTTTCTTGCAAGTGTATGATATACTATTTCCGATAATTAAAGCAATTGAATAATTAAATTAATTATTTATAAAATGATTAAAATCGAACGTATAGACTGGCGAGGTAAAGTTAGTCCATAATTAAGAGCTAGCAGGAGGACTGTGGAGGCTTCTCGCGGAGATCCAGAAATTATTAATTAGGATACATATTTTATATATGGCTTTCATTTTTACCCTCTGCGCTTTTCCTCTATTAGGCAACTGATGCTGCAATTCGAAGCAGAATCGTAAGTCTCGTAATTTGTTTTCGTAAAATTCGTCAGAATTTATGAGTAAATTTACAAATCTATGCATTATCATGTGTCGTACAATTACTTGTAAATATCGTAAATTACATGAAATCGTAGATATTTACGAGTAATTGTACGCCATATGATATTGCATAGACTTGTAAATCTACTCATAAGTTCTGACGAATTTTACGAGAACAAGTTACGAGACTTATGATTCTGCTTAGAGTTGCAGCAGGAGTCTGGCACCAAAGCAAGATAGCTACGTTGCTGCATATTTGTATTTTGGTTATTACAAAACAAAATATACGTTTAACAAAATCATAGCAGACATTAATACACAGAAGAAGACTGCCTCTAACATGTTTGTAGAGTCAGTCGCAACAATTATTTGTCTGAGAATTTGTGACTTCGAAAATCTGAGATATGAGGCATCTAGCCCCGGTCTCACATACATCTGGCGTGTATGATTCTCCCCGTGCGGGGAGAACAACTCGGTGATAAAATGTGAGAACTGTACACACACCGGCGAGACTCACCCAAAAGTTTCGTGACGACTGCGCCCTGCTGATTTAGGGACAACACGTGGTTAGCGAGATCGTTGTAGTGTCTCAGTGCTCCTAATCCATGCGACAATTCGATTAAGCGCTGCCGTGATGTACCGCCACTATTGCCGCTGGCGAACGGGCCCGCTGTGCAATTTTGCAAGCTCACGCCTGTAATCGGAATAAAATTTCACTGTGACACACGTGTAATAATAAAAGCACCATGCTGAGCAATTAGTGATAACAATAATATTTGTCATGGTAACATAATCATTTCGATAAAGATATTGTCAATTATAATAGTCGGCCAATTGCAATTACAACAGCTAAAAATGTGATATAAAGTCCATTTGTATAATTGTTAACGATGATGATTTTACTAGACATCTATATTACTGGCTAAGTTACTAATGGCAAAGAGATTAACTTTAGAGATTAACACAGAGATTCTCATGGAGTGACTAATAATTATTAAGAAATTAATTTTTTTAACGTAGGTTTTGCTAATTACAAAACAGATAATTGACAAAATCCGATTTAAAATACATTTGGATAACAATAACAATAACAATAACAATTATCAGATTTTTATATTACTGGTTAAAATTATTTTGGAAATTAACGAAATCCGAGGGGTGACTAATAATCGTTACAGAAACATAATATTTTTAATACAAATACAGTTTGTTATATATATATATATATATATATATATATATATATTTATATTGCTATAATTAAAATAAAACAGTACATTGCAAAATAAAATGTGTATAACGATATATTAACGATTATATTAGCAGTTTAAATTAACACACATGTGTGTGTTAGAAAAATCTTAATTATCTTAAATATTTTAATCTACAGTATCTTAATCTTGAAAAGACGATATTGGAGACTAAAAGATATTTGAGGTTGGAACACACATATATTCGTGTTAATTGAAATCGCCAGTATACTGTGTTAAAAGTGGCGACGTGTTAACACGTTATTATGATACTTCATTTTGCAACGTATGAAATATACGTTTATATAATTTTTAACGACAATCACTGGACTTCTGTATTATTGGCTAAGTGATTTCCACGGCGGGAGAGTTAACGAGATTCGAGGGGTGACTTCACGGTGCGTGATAATCATCGGGAATCTATTTTAATCGCGCGAGTTCTTCGTCAGGTCCCGCCGTGTCGACTGAATGCTCCGTTAAATTAACAATTGGCCGCGTAATCGCTGTGGCGAAAGTGGTCACGGTCAAGTAAGCTCTCTAGCGTTCGAGCGTAAATTAATTTCAATTATCGCGACGTGATGTCGCGACCCCATACGTTATCGACGCGGATCTTTTAGAATGTTCGGAATGTATTCAGAGCAGCTGTCGATCGCGCACTCACATACACGCGCAGACGCAACAAACACTGCGCGCTTGATAATTAATTTATATTCATGCTCGTAAAAGTCGAAGATATAAAAACACTTAACGCTTGACTCGCGTCGAAATCGCGGGATACGCGCGCTTTATTTATTCTCTTTATAATAATATATAATGTCACGCCGCGCGCGCGAGAAGCTTGACTACCGACGCTTATCGATCGCCGTCACTCGTGTCGGCGGTTATATACCATGCTCGCAAACGGCGATCGACGCGTCAATCAACGCCGCGGAATCGTTAGAAATTAATCGCCTTACGAGTCAATTCGAGTTTAATGGCAAGTTAGTCTTCGTCGTCCATGCGCTAATGCGCTCGGCTCGTGACGCGACACATCGATTAATCGGGTCTTGCAGCCCGTGTTACGTATCGGCGCGTCGAGTATGTCGGTTGGGGCCTCGGTTTATTATACGCGCCTCTCTCCGCAGTTATACGGATGCAAATGTATCGGCCCGGCCAGGTGCGAGGAGCCTCGTAATTTTTCGAAAGGACGCGCGCCGATTGAGTCCTCCCCGTGGATTTATGGGCGAGTAATCTTAGCGACGTTTCGAGTGAGCAGCAGCGAGGTGGCGGTTTACGATCGAGCAGAACGACGCTGCTATTAAGACTCGCGCTCGTCGACTCGATTCGAGTATCCACTCTGTTTTCGCAGACAACCGCCCGTTCTCGCCTACTGAATTCCCAAGTGAATTCCCGAGTTGAAATTTTTATTCCACTTTCAGCTTCACTATTCTATTCAAAACTTATTTTAATGCCAAAGAAAGAGAAATTTCGAACATTATCAGAGTCAAAGTAAATTGTACCCTGCTACTACCACCTTTTCATTAGAACAGCATGGTTGGTAAAAACGACGTGGTTGGCGTCGGAAATGACTATAATTTCACCGAGAAATTAGACATATTCTTCTCTCAATGTAAAAATAATGTCTCGCGCTGCCGTAGGAATAAATTGTATCATTAAAATTAAACTTACTTTGCTAATTTAGCTCCTGCTGTGTAGTAGAATTCAAGGTTTAACATAGGACCAAAATTTCAACTCGGGTTGTTGAGCATTTTGCTAAATAACGCGGATGGCAATGCGCGTATTGAGAAAAGAGACTGTTCAATAATTGTAACTATAATAGTGAAAGAATTATAGTCAAAACTAGTTTTCTAGTGCTACAATAGTGTTAGTGATAATCTTATATGCGTGCTGCAACCATTTCACGGAGAAAATTTTATTAAAAATTACTACAGAATATATATATTTTTTTTTACTAAAGAATAGGTTGACATTCTGCAATGATTAACTTTATTTCATATATGTTATTTATATTTTAAGAACTATAAAATATGTTATTGAAAAAATTTGATGTTTCTAAGATTTATTATATTTCTTAGCAAGATAGACCTTACTAACAGTCTATTCTAGTACTACTGGAAATATAGTAAAATTGGAAAGAATTTGTATGAAAAAAGAAACTATAATATATACGATCTTTGTGTACTTTTCTGTTAGAGCAACAAGAAAATATAGTTGGCACTTTAACAATGTGCTCTCTCAATCTCCACGATTTATTAGAAGAGACCAGTCAAGTCGAGTATGTCTTTTGTTCTGTGTTTTTATAATGAAAAAACCAATGAGAAAACAATCGCAAAATGTTCCTTTTAAAACGTAAGTGCTTTTCTTACATTAACAGAGAAATGTTTGACACTTGTGACTATAATTGCAATAGTGAACTAATTGTTATTATTCCTTTTTTGTTAAAACAAGAAAGCATACTTGACACCAAAATGACTATATAATTCTATTTACCATCTCTTTCTGCAAATATTTTTTTTATTGCCCCGAGAAAGAAAACATTACGATTATAATTGCACAGTAAAACGATTACAGTCAGGAATGTCATTTTTGTATTACATTGTTTCATATGAAATAACTTCTTCATTTAGTTTAAGGTGATACTTGTGAGAGTTATAAGGATAAGTAACTTTAAAATATAGTATGCATAACCATACTCTTATTATATTTATCATAACCATACTTATCAGTGTAATTACGCTGTTTACTGTTATTAGGTATTATAGGGTCTACAGTAGGATTCACTCCAAAAAATACAGTTTCCCTGACTGTAATTGGCTGTAGTTGACAATTACAATTATAGTCACAAGTGTCAAACACCTTTCCAACAATGTAGGAATAATGCTTACTAAAAGGGAATAATGCTTTTCTAAAAGGGACATTTTGTGATTTCTTTTTCGTTATTTCTTTCACCACAAATACATAGTAAATGCGGCAATAATATTAAAGATAACAATCTTATACGCAAATTGTTACTACCACCTTTTCATTAGAACAGCATAGTTGGTAAAAACGACATGGTTGGCGTCGGAAATGACTATAATTTCACCGAGAAATTAGACATATTCTTTTCTCAATGTAAAAATAATGTCTCGCGCTGCCGTTGTCCGCACTCAGAATAAACAAAATAGTCTACACGACCTTTACGTCAATGATCCAGTCTCATCTACCGAGCGCGAAGAAAGCAAGGAGATTATAGTGGAAAGCAATCGCAAGGTAGACGGGAGACGCGACGTAATTACGCAAAACCACAGGACGAAAGGCGCGTTTAAGCGCAAGTCAACGCGAGCTTGGGGATAATGTGAATTAAACGCGGGACAAATGTTAATTACCGCAGCGTGGTAATGCGATCGAAATTATGATGTACTTATTGCGACCTCAACTTCCACGTAATCGCGCTGTCGACTAATCTTAACGATATTTAGCGCGCACGGCAATTTATGGATCGCGCCGTCGACGCGGCTACATTGAGAGCACACGACTCTCTTGCACGGCTCTCTCGCTCGTAGCTGTCATTTTGCGAAACGTGGAGTGCAATTACTTTTTATCCGAGCAATCCGAGCGTAAGAGAGTCCAACGACGACGACGACGACGACGAACCCGTTGGAAGAAACCGTCGTGCCGGGTGAAATAAAGAGCCGCTGTATTGGCAGAAAACAGGTCCGCCCTGCTCATTTGTATCGCGTTCTTTTAGCTCGCTTTAAGTGGCGGCAGTTCGTTTACATGGTGAGAACGTTTAATTAATTAGTTCTTTATGAGCCGAGTGGAACGCGAACGGTTCGACGGACGCATCGTAACGCGGACCGTTTGCAATTTGTTATACGCGCGATCGCACGGCCGTTTTTGCGCGGCCGTTTATGACGCCGAGCTCGCTAATTATCGGCGTTTCGGTAATCAGGGATCGTCAGGCCGAATTCGGTCCATTCGAGCGGCGATAATCGACGGTGAATATTGTGACGTGATTTGCCTCGCGCTCGCTGCGGATGACCCTTCCTTGTCGAGCGCGTAAGTTGCGACTTAGCTTTCGAGGCGCGTATTGAATGCGCGCGAAATTCCCGGCGAGTTGGTTTCCCGCAAAACACCGAAACGCCGCCAAAGTCATTCCCCGAGGAATCTCGCCCCTTCGGCGGCGACGTTCTCGAAACGTTGAATAAAACTTAGCCGCGAGTCCCGACGGAGGAGTCGCTCCGCCGTCCGCCCGGATCGCGCATTCCGCGCTCGTTTCGTGTCAAAGTGATCGGAGGTGTCGTGAAAACGAAAGTAGCCGATGCACAGAAAGAAATGCGTGTCCCGTCGTCGTAGCATCGACACCATCCGGGAACCGGTTCTGAACGAGTTCTGACCGACACCGGGCCGCGCGGTATATTCGTCCGTATATTCGAAATCGCCGCCGGTAAAGAGCGATAGG